AAGTGAGAGAAATATTCGTCCAATTCATCATTAAAGGAATCAAGAACAACAAATCTCCACGCACAAAAGAGAATAATGAAAGAAAAAAGCACCAAAATTAATTCAGCTCAGTATACCTTCACATCCAGAAATAAAAGGAATAATAATAATAATAAAAAGAGAAAAAGAAAAACCAAATTAAAAAAATAATAATGTTTGGCAAGAAAAGCGGAATTTATTAGGGTTTTCATGTGGGCGTGCTCAAAGACCCAAAAGAAAAAACCACTACAAGATTCTTACTTAAATCGAAGGCCCAAACTTCCAGCAAGTAAGTAAAAAAGGTTAAAATTATTTATTTTAACTGTGGCAAAGAAGTAAAAAAGAAGAGAGGACCGTACCAGCGAAAGAGGTGATTTGTGACCTGAAATGGCGATGAGTTTATTTACAAGTGCGCTGGTTCGGACACGAAGCCAACGGGGCCCCTCTCACAAAAATTAACTACATTTTTTGTCCATTGCGTAGGGCGATTGACAAAGCCTGGGCTTGCACTGCACTGCACACACTCTATATATATATATATATATATATAAATATTAATTCTCTAATATTATATTTAACACGGCTTTTATTTCCATGCCCGAAATAAGGGACTCAAATTCAATGGAGCAATTAAATAATTTAGATGTGCAAATTAAAGTAGCCTGCTGCTTTAATTGGCTTATTAAGTATAAGACCTGAATGCAAGCGAAATAATAATCCTTAAACAGATGAGTATGAGTGGTATATTAAAGGTATTGTCATAAGGGTAGAAAAAACTAGTGGAATGACAAAAAAATGCACAATATATTTTAGTGTATAACTAACTAGAGTATGATAAAATAATAATGAGTGATATATAGTGAAAGAACTAAGAATTAATCGTAGCGGTTGGATGTAATATATCAACGTTTCAAGACCGGTCAAAGACTCCAATACTTGTCAAAGGGATGGTGGTATTTTTGTAATTATAAACATTTTCTATTTTTAAAGTGGGGGCATTTTCTTCTTTGCACAGAGTACACTGTCACGCTATTATGCATATTCACAGTCGTTAATGTGCATTTCGTCTGACGCTATTGTACATTTTGTAACGTTGTGCCATTTTGGTAAATTCGTAGACTTTGAAAAGTGTAGGCGGTGGCAATTCTATAATCTTGTTAGAAAAAAGACAGAAATTTTAATGTGCGTATCGACACGTAAAATTGTGCATTTCACTTAACATTATCGTGCATTTATTAAAAATAAAATTGAAGATATATCTAAGACCAAAATTTCAATATACTATAATTTTTCAAAATTACAGCTGAGTCTTTAGGACTTATCAATATTTCAAACAAAAGCCTCCCATTGCTCCACCGTCGAGATCGGCAGCGTCTCCTTCCTCATTGAGAATGACAATAAGCCCAGGAATCGGCCCAAAACCCACCAGTGATACTCCTACGACGGACAACTGCGTGGAGGTATGAAAGAACGGTAGCGATTTCGACAGAGATGAGGGGACGAAAGATGGGGATCTCCAGATCGAGATCTCTGTTCAGCTTCAGGGACGACGAGAACTGAAGCGCCTTCTTCAACGTAAAAATATTCGACATCACCAACGGCTTAATCACGGAGTTGGGGAAGAGTGATTTTTCGTATACGAGACAAGTCGGCCTTCATCATTCTGAGGGCAACCTGTCGAATTTCGCGGAGTTGTGTCTCCGATTAGTATTGGAATACGAAGGGTTGCCACGAAGGACCACATGGGGAGTAGGAGGGGGCCCACTTGATGATGTGTGATGTGAGATAAAATGTGAGTGGCATATAAATGGGAAATAAAAAGTCAATACACCTTTCGTTAGTGTTAGTCTCTGTTCATTTTTTGTCGTTGGATTATCTAATCTTATATCATGATATATTATTATTTCTTTCACTGTGAATCGTTCTTACATTAACTCATTTCAAACTAATTATATGTAATTTTTATATTGTATTATATGAAATTAAATTATAAGAATATATATTTGTTATTAATTTCTCAATAAATGGTTAGGTGTCAAGCTCCATAAGTTCACGAGCTGACTCATGCATTACTTTTTCTTTTTATTTTTTCAGTTTAGTTGAAGCTCGGCTAGGCTTGGAAACGTCAAGGTTTTGTATGACACTAAAATTAGTAAATCATGGAGCTCGAACTGAGCTTTACTTTTTTNTTTAACTCTCTCTCTCTTTCTTCCCGTAAAGAAAGTCTTTGAATAAGCTCTAACTGCACTTTTACTATTAGAATATCTGCATTTTTATTCTTTTTTAAAAAATTAGGTAATAAAAAGAAATTGGCGCACCAAGGAATCAATTAGCTACCGAAAATCTACTGCTTAGAAATAGGTCTCATTCAATTCTGGCACTATATATTGATATGAGTCTAACGACGTAGCCTAGAGTCTTACCCAAGCTAGCTTCTATTTGCTACTTATTTATGCTTTATATATGACTAAAGAGTGGGTAATTTGTATTGGACAAGTCTTAATTTCTATGTATACACTCCTGATCGGTCTTCAGATTGCTGCCTCGATATCGTCTTATATTTGGATTGAGTTGGACGCTGCCGCTGTCGTCACACTCCTGACCTCTGACCATCAGGGCACTTGGCAGATTCAACATCCACTCATGCGTATTAGAGCCATACTTCGATCGATTAGATATTGGATCTCACACATCTTCCGTAATGGGAACCGACCTGCTGATTACCTTGCTGGCATAGGGTCCTCCTCTACACAGAGACGTATTCTTCAGCCTGACGACATTCCTCTACGCCTCCGCACCCTTATACGGATGGATCAGATTGGATACCCATCGTTCAGATTTGGACAGTCGGACTTACATTTTGGGACCTCTACCACACTGTGATGCTGACCTTTTTGTAGGGACTCTCCCCGGACCAGGATCTGTTATCTTTATATTTCGTTGTCAGCTTTTCCTTGTATTTTTTCTTTCTTTTGTTTTCTATTTTATTTTATTTTTTGTTTGACTTGATGTATCAGACATTGGTATTGTAGCTTTGTGACTTTTCAGCTCATTTAGGGCATTTTTATAAACAGGTTGGGGGTTCGGCCTTAACCCCCACCCTCTTAGGGTGGTGTTTGAAAAAAAAAAAAAAAATTACACAAATTTTCTCTAGTAAGTTAAGATTTCATCAGAGGGACATTTTAGACTTGGTTAGTTGGCATGTTGACTAATGGATTCAGCCAAAATCTAGAGTTGAAATGAATATCCATAGATTGATTAATCAACTTTTGTTTTTTTCTACCCTACACAGGAAAACTTTTCTCTTGCCCCATGTTTGTGGTTGAACCCTACTTTCCAAAGTTCATGAATTTTTCATAAATTGTCATTATCATAAGCTTTTGTTGCATGTACGGAGATAGGATTCATTATCTTAGATTTTCACATTACTCATCCTTAACCCATCTCATCATCATCTCTTCCAAAAAAATGCACATACTAAAGGACAAATGAGCAAGTCATTATTATCAACTTATTTATCAGTTGGTGAATTGGAGAGTGTCCTACTGTAGCACACTGTTGCTTGGATTTGAATGCTTTCAATAATTCTTTAAAAAAGAAAAAGAAAAAAAAATTGGGACAAGTAGGAAAATGAAAGTAGTTTAGATATATGTCAAT